GCCGGTCTTCTGCAAGGCTCTACCTTCCCTATATCCTTCCCCTTTCCTTTCAGGTGATGGGTCCTTATTCTCTGTTGACAGTGAGTATGAGTCGCTGGACCTCGATTCCTTCCAGACTTGGTTTAGTTCCTTGCTCTGCAACTTGTCAGTGTCTGTTTCCTCCAGTCAAATCTCCCTCCTCAGGCTTAGTTGTTCAGTTATACACTGCAACTGCCTTACTTCCTCCCTCTCTCTCTCTCTTCCCCTTTGTTGGTGTCTTCAGCTCCTCCCTCAGGAGGCTCTGTTTGGTGATTATCCCTGGGTTGGCTGGTCTCACCTGGGTTGGTCTCCCTCAGCCTTGCTTCAGGTCTGTTAAACTGAACTGCTTCACAGAGTCCAGGTGAATGGATTAGGACCCAATTAACTATAACTCAAATGCAAAGGGGATCCTTCTCCCCAGCTGTCTCTCCCTAGCCCAGGAGTACTAAATCAGAGTGGAAAAAAAAAAGAAACAGACTCTTGTCCACCATGTCTGTGGTCCAGACTCTCAAATACACTAAAGCAAAGTTCTGAGCCCCCTGGCTGCTCTTCCAGGTTCGAAGGTCCAGCTAGGCTCACTTCAACTGGTTCAAACCTTGCTGATATTCTCCTAGTCGGCCTGGACAAATCCCTCCTGTGTCTGGACTGTCTCTACTTCCCTTGAGGCTACTGCTGGATCTATGGGTCTGCTCTTGCCCTCTTTTCAGTCTGCCTTGGCTGCCTGTCTCCCGGGGAACTCCCCCTGTATGCCCCCTGCCCTCTGGTTTGTGGGGCCAAACCCCTACTATCCCACCATCCATTGTCACTTATCTCACCGGACGTGCTAGGGTTGTCCTTTGCTCATCGTTGCCTGGTCGCAACGTTGCACAAGGGTTTGGCTGACTGGGTCCCCAGTTCTGCTGGTCCTCCTCTCGGTCCAGCTGCACCGTCTTTGTTTTGGGAGACACTGAATGCCGCGTGTCTTTCAGTGTCTCCCTTTAAACAGCCTGGGCTTCCTCCTGGGCCAATCAGTGCTGGCTCCCTGGGACACACGTTCTCCAGTCCCTGGTGCCTGCACACCCCTCCAGTTTCTCCGTGCACCTCTTCTCCAGAGTGCCAGTTTCCCACCGGTGCTGCCGGTCCCACAAAGGTATAACAGGGGTTGTGTCCCAGCCCTTGCTACACCAGGGTAGCTGGTTTTATCACCTTCCATTTCAAGATGGGCCAGAAGCAAATCTTGAACATTAACATCTCTCTGAAATTTGGGTTTGAAATCCATTTCACAATCCAAACTGGACATAGTATCAAAATACAATCTCAGCTTTCTTTATGTAATTGTCTCTGTTTCCAATCACATGCTCCACAGCCTTAGTTCTATAACTGAGCCTCACTGCAGAAGGAGCATGAACAGCGCAATGAGCAGGACATAGACACAGTACATAAAAAATCAGTATCACACAGAAAAAGAACTAGTACTTTAAACTTCACTTACATCTATTTCTGTTTCAGGTGAAACTTGTCCTGACAGAAGTAACTAGGACAGGTAAATCTGAAGTAAATCAAACTCAAGAAAAGAAAAGTGCTAGAGAACAGCAGAAAAAAAATGTTTAAACCAGTGGTTCTCAATCTTATTAGACTCCCTTGGACTCAAGGCCCTCCTTGTAAATTCTCAGCTCTTTGTTTTCACTTGATTATTTTACTACAGAAAAATAATAAATTATTTTATTGCAAAGAACTCAGAAAGACCACAACAGGTCAGAATGGTTTTGACACTAAGCATTCCTATTTGAAATTTCTGGGTTTATCCTGTGAATGATGTTTGCACACTAAGTATGTGTAACATTGTGTGGCACTCCACAACACCCTCCAAAGCATCTCAAGGCACTTTATGGTGCCATGGCACTCCGGTTGCTTAGACAAATCATTGACCATTTTAACTGAAGCTCTAAAAATATCAGAAGTGAATTCTCTATTTAGCACATTGCAATCACTTGATTTGGAACATGTTTTCAGTGCCTATTCTTCATAGAGTTCTTTATAGTACAGAAAAATTCATGAACTTTTGATCTTTAGATACACATATATACATGCCTTATTCCTAGTCTGAAAATATATCAAAAGAGAGAGACAGAGGGAATGCTGGGAAACTGTCTGAAAATTACCTTTCTCCCTAAAGCCAATTTCAAATGTCAGATATTCTTTAGGCTACTGATTGTACCATGGCACTTAAACAACAATAAAGCATAGTGTAGTTTCTTTACATGTCTCTCAATGCTATTAACGAGGGTGCTTTTGAAAAAAAAATTAAAATTCTCCCTCAGAGCACAGGAGCTGAGCAATGAGAATCCAACAGATAAATGGCTCCAGCCAGAACAACAAAAGCTAAAAATAATTAGAAGAATTTTAAATGTCCAACTATCCTGTTGGTCTGTAAATTCTTACAGGGGTACGTCTACAAATGAAATTAATGTGAAGCAGTAAACTCTGGAGTTTATTGCCAGTTTGCAGCACGGCACCAAAATTTGACATGGGGAGATCCTGGTGTCAAAAAAGGCCACACCAGAAAAAAGCAGCATGGTGCATGCAGCGCACCAGATCAGTGCCACTGCTGCCCCAGGAGGTCCCCAGGCCCCCAGGTAAGGCTGCTGGGGCTAGCACAGGTGCTGGCCCCAGCCTTTGTACCCCATCTGAAACAATTTGGCATGTGCCAGAGCATGCATACAAGGGCATGCCCTGGGGCACAAAGTAGTGGTAAACACAGGCCCCTGCACCTGCATGCTCATCTGGATATATCCAGGGCGCCCTACTCTGATCTATACAAAGGGTTTCATTTATGAAGAAGTCTTTTTAGTTCTGCACAAATCTAGAAAAAGTAAAAGTTCTACCAGTTTGCTCTCTGCATTGCATTTGCCCAGTTTTTGAACTATTCAAGAGGGTGAAATGAAATGTAGAACTATGTTGCTTCAAACAAAGCTGATAACAAAAGTTTTTTTCTAAAAAAATTCTTATTTACAAATGTAGTTTTAATGATTTCTTTAAGTGTAAAATTTTATACTGATGACTGATTGCCCACATTGGCATGACCAGGTGCCTACATCTAAACAGTGCAAACAGTAAAAAAACCAAAAAGCAAAGACACAATTCCTGCCCCCCTTCAAAAAAAAAAAAATTCAATGCATCCAGAGGTTGCTGAAATCCATTTAATCCATTTAATAGGTCTGTCTTCACAGGACAATGGTTGATTCTGTTTTACCATGAGGTGTGCGAAGATACTTACTGATCGCATAACAAATTAAAAAATAATACACATAACTTTAAGTGGGAAAATATGTGATTTCCATCAATCAAGCAGTGGAGGCACAAATGTGTACTTCTGCTTTGTGCCCCATTGCACGTCCCTGCATGCGTGCTTCAGTGAGCAACTAATTGTCCTGGGTAGGGGTAGGAGAGACTGGGGCCAGTACCTGTGCTGGCACTAGCAGCATTACCTGATGTCTTGGTGCAGCAGGGGTGCAGATCTGGCAGCACGGAGCCTAGCTCACACCCAGAGCGTTGCTCTAGATGGCCAGTACTCTGTGTGTACACTACAGATGTATGTGCCGCACCACTTTTTCCTCCATTGTTTTTGCTACCAGGATTTCCTGGATCAAATTTGTAGCGTGGGGCATGTTTTAATGTTCCAGGTGTGTGGTTTGTGATGCTGCGAAGAGGTTTGCGGCACCACAAGCCACATGTGCCTGAACGTCTAGATGCACCCAGTGGGTGTATGTACATGTGAAATTAATGTGATGCAATAAACAGCAGAGCAGTTTGTGCCAGAGTAAACTGCTCCCGGGCACAGTGTCTACATGTGCACCCAGGACAGCAGCAATTTGAGCTGGGGCAAAGCAGGCCCCCAAGTGGCTAGGCTGACTGGGTGCAATTTATGCCTGCAGTCACCATCTACACATGCGTTTCAGCACAGTAAATTACTTGGGGACAGTCCTATCTTACAGCTGAGTTAATTAGTTTACTGCACCCTAATACCATCACATGTGCAGATGGTGACACTGTACTGCAGAGCTAATTAGTCTACTCTGCAGTGAAGTGCACATGTAGATGTACCCAGGGTCTTTTTCAGTGGGCACCAGGGACTTCTCAATCAACAGCATTTCTGCTATGACCCCTATAAATTTACCAGTGGCCCCCTCAGAAATCAAAGGATGTTCTTTTCCCTTTCACTCTGCCTATAATGTTCTTCCTCACTTTCATTGGGAGCAGGGTTTATTTTTCATTGTAATGTTGCCATTTGCCATTAGGCTGCTGGTAAGCGAAACTCTGGAAGTGTCTACATTTCAGTGGTAGAAAGTACCACTACCTAATTTGGAAAGTACTTTGGGATGAGTTAATATGCAAATCATCATGATAAGACTTTGCCCGTATATAGCCCTTTTCATCATTCAGTATTAAAGTACTCCCAGAAGGAGGGTATTACTATGTACACTTGACCTATAAGCTCCAGACATATATGCATGCATGCAGCCCAGTATTTCACAACATTCGTCTGAGTCTCCATCTTTTTTCCCTTTTCTTTAGGAAGACTTTTTCTTGTGATTAATATACCTGTCTACATCAGTCTAGTTTTCATCAGCAGGCCAGTCTACCCCAAAGTTATTATTGGGGCATTGCTGATTAGCTTGGTCTATGTTGAATCTATGTTTTTGATATTCTTTCTCCAGAAACCACCGTTCTGTATCTAGTAGGAACCTGGAAAACTCCAGACCAGTGTCAAGTGTTTACTCTCATTTCTAACAGCGCTGTGCAATCCTGTTGCTACACATTAGCCTGAACCTAACTGGCATCTATTTTACTATAGTATAACTTCTTGCTGTGTCTATCCTTCCACCCAGGCATCATACTTTCGAATCATGAATCTTGTCTATTTTGACATCCTAAATCCCAGCATTTTAATTGTCTTCTGCTCAGTCTTCATCATTCTCTTTTGTCCTGAAGGGCAGGCCTACCTGGTATTGAAAAGGGAGACAGGTTATCATGCTCATTCTCTTCCTGGTTTTCCACATGGATGTTCCCATTTTCAATGTTCTCGTGCTTCCCGTTCTGAAGCGGTTTGCTTGTGCCATTGGCAGACTGAATCAGTCGCTGACGCTGCACAGAGATACACACCAAGAGCTGTAAAATTTTGCTAATCTTGTCAACTCTGTTCTTTGAAACCATACCACTTTCCCCCTCCTGAAAGGAGGCTTTGGATATCACATTCTCAAATAAATTCTGAGTACAACTTAATGATTATAGCTCATCCAGAATCATCTCATCTAGTTTTTGTCTAGGTCTCATGAGATTTCAACCCTCAGACCACCAACTGTGCTTATACCTGGGCACTGTGATACTGCACAGCTGTGCTTGGAGAAGGACACTGCACTATAAGAGAGGATATCCTTCAGATTATACATTAACCATGGGACCTTCTATCCAGCCCTGATTCTCTACCCCCATAAGAATTCAAGGATCCTATGGTATTTCACAAACAGAATTAACTCTACTATTTCCTTGCCTGATAAAACAAACCATAATGATGACTGTGTATGGCTACTGCAGAGATATGTAGGGATACCTGTCTGAGAAATGCTTGCTACATTAATTGCACTATGGTAGCTACTGTTGTCACCATTAAGCATCAGTTTTTACCCAGGATTATCAAACAGTGGGATGTGAGATACTAAGCAAATTTTCTAATTTCAGAAAAAGAATTAGCTGCCTTAGGTGGAATGATTACTATTGGTAACTCATGTCTTTTAAAGGACAGTTGCAAAAATTAACTGAAATATACTTAATAATGCCCTGATTGTCTAAAGTTCTGCCAGCATATGAAACAATTAAGACCTATATAACTGAAAGGGGTATTAAACACTTAGAGAACTCAAATCCACACACATTGCCAAACCCATGCAATTTGGAAGTTTGGATACAGGAAAACAGATCCAATCTACCTCGAAGCTTGGGTTTTCTTTTGCCAACACCGAACAGCTTGCAAACACCTTTCTTGACATAGCTCTACTAAAAATAATTTCTAAGTGATTGCCTAATTGGTTTGAAAGTAGCTGTTTTAGAGGACTGACTGCTACTAGCAATTTATCTGATCTTCTCTTGCTCCTGACACTGTACTTTGGAGATGATTTCCTAAAACCATTTCAGTGTATTATTGTTAGGTGGATTTTGTAACAAACACACTACATTCCCCTTATGCTTCCTTGGGGTGTTCAGAGTAGTTAGTAGTGCTATACTGTCCTCTGTGTTTTTAGAACTTGCAAAGGCCTATTTCCCCTATACTTGGGATTGCTAAATTAAGTAATTAACCTCTCTCCCCTCCAAAAATACACCTTTTCTTATACTCATATGTAACTCAGAAATGAAGAGGGGAATCTTGGCTGCATAATGTCAATGTGAGTTCTTCCATCAACTTTAACAGAGAAATTTCACATTGTTTTTCTTTTACGAATGTAATGCTACTGGCCATTTTGAGGACTTTTGCCACAGGGTTATGACGAGAAAGACAATAAATGGTGGTGGCAATGGGCTCAAAGAGGGCTAATCTGAGCCTGCCTGAGGCATGCTCATCTTGTGAAAAGGTTCTGATCTGCATTCTCCTTTGTGTTATCAACGGTTCGAGACCGTGAAGTTTAAAGACATTAGGCAATACTTGATGCGATTAAGAGAATACTGTCCAGGCACTAAAAGAGCTCTTAGAAGTTCCAAGGTTGACTTATTCCTTGTTATTCCCTCCTCAGTTTCACCATTCGTATCAGTGCTCAAAGGCAATTCTATGCTAAAGGGGAAATACATAGTTCTTAGTGAGAGGATCTTTCTAATCTTTATTCCTAATTCCTTTCCAGGGAATCCCTACTACAACTGTCTATCCTCCAAAGAGGGTCTCATCATCACATTCAGTCCACTGACTGGCATAGCTGCCAAACAGAGACACAGATTTCTTCTTCCCTAGACGCTAAGTTGAAGAACCAAACTCTGATTCCAACCATAAAATCATCCTTGGATAGGAACTCAGCCTGGAAGAGTGGATTTTTGGCTGATCCAACTCATACTACTTATTTGCTATTTCCTCAGTGAACTTACCTCGTTAATAATGAGTCTGCTTGCCATTCGCATTCTGGTTCTTGGTCCAAATTTATTTGTTATCATTATTCGTAAGCCGGCTTCAGGGAAACGGAATTTTGGTGGGCTGGAACAGATGATCTCATCCACCATCACTACAGTGTTTTTGCCGTACTGCTGTACTCCCTTCACTATTGATCACAATGCCAAGGGTTAGTTGCAAAATTTTTTCAACATCCTTCTCTTTACCTAGAGTTGCCCTAATTGGGTTTGTTCAGGGGATCACATTCACTTGAACTCTTGAATTTGCTAGCATCTATTCTGTAATGTTTCTTAAGTCTTGTGTACCTGAAAATCACTGATTCATTGGGTCTGCCTGATTCAGGCCATGTGGTGAAGAGATCTTTCACTCTCTTGAGGCAGCAGCCCCAGAGCACAGATGAGTGAGAACAGGATGATCATTCATGTTGGGCCATCTAGCTTATAGCACATTATCATTCATCATGGTTTATAGAAAGTTTTTCATGAGATCACCTGATACTGGGAAAGCACAGGCAGTTCCCTAAAAATGGTAATGCTGCTGTTCAGTTGTTTAAGGTGCTTAGCAGCTATAAAAAGCGTATTGCTAATTCTAGAGCCCCTGTTGGTGTGTTACTTGTCTGAAACATCTTCACTAAGTTTAAGACTATAATCAATGTCTCGATTGCTTATGGGGCTTCAAACTACCTAATTTAATCTAATTCCTTCTGGACAACTAATTACAATTGATCCTTTGCTGCATGTAAAGGAACTCTAAATTGTACGAAGGCAATAGTTTTGTGCCACTGTTCTACAAAAGCCAAAGAGGTAAAATTATACTAGGGATCAATACAAATATAATCAAGGGCTTAACAACATGCCAGTATTTCCATAAATGCTACAAACTACACATAGCAAGCACAGCAAGGCTCAGCAGACAGGAGACATACCAATGTGTGTTAGAAAACAGGGCAGTAAATAATGCATTTGGTTGAAATTAAATAAAAATGAGCCCCAGTGCAAGGGAAAAAAACAGCATTCTTTATTGCTTGTGTTATTGCTTTGCATTGCTTGGGTTTTTTTCTTATGGCTGGCAAGTTACTTACATTAAGAAGAGGAAGAGAATTTAGGAGGCAAAAGTGAAAGATAATTATTAGTGCATGGTTTCAGCCAGAAAGCAAAGGAAACCTGGGAAAACATTTATCTTAACCAAAGGAATCAGAATGGATCTATCATAAATACATAGTAATCTACATAGTTAAAGAAACTAAAACCATATATGATGAAATACTGTTGTGTTTTCAAGATGTTGTCAGTATCAGTACGTACATACAAACAACACTGGCTGTCAAAGCCTATGGTATCTTCTAACACTTTTATTTTGGGTTTTGAGGAAAACATCATCTGATTGTCACTCAGAAAGAGAAACTCAGAGAAGATATAAATCACCAATACACTACAAGCCTCTCTGTAGCTATGGAAGTAGAACGCCACATAACAGTGTTTTGTGTTTTACTCATATAAGACTTTCTTTGGGTTTACAGTATTCACCTGAGGCACCAAAAACAAGTCTTAGATTTCACATAAAATGTCCTAATCAGTAGATGGGTTACGTAGCTTTGACATGTAATTTAATCACTGATAGAGGATGGATGTAGGAATAATTTTGGTAACGGTAAATCAGCAATTATCCTCCCACTCCTTTTATCTTCACAAATTAAACCAGCAGAATATTGAAGGTGATGACACAAAGAAAGGAGTGAAGGAGCCCTTGTAATGTCTCTCTACAAAGTGATTAGGCTGAGATTGCTTTTATTGCAAAGGTAGAGCCAGGATACCCAGGAAAATCCTGTATCTGGCCTCACCTTCATTTGAAGAGGGCTCAGTCACAAGAGCCTAACATTTGCTTTAATAAAGAAGAAATGTTTGACAACAAACCCTGGTAAAGAATAAAGCTGTGACATCATTGATTTAACCGAGTCTCACTAGATTAGCAACTCTCAAGTGAGTTCCTCCAGTGAAGTCTCCAAAGCACTCCTTGATCTCACAATATGACAGGGAAAACAACACGGAAGCACTACAGTCGCTGTGGACTTAATTCTAGGAGCACTAATGAGTTTGTGGCAAAACATGCACAGGTTTGAATTGAGGGCAAAAGCCTCAGCTTTGATGTGAAGTGCATAGATCACAGGTGCATGACTCACCCCAGCCTTAAGGCTGACACAGCACATTTCTTCTGTGCTCTCCTAAGAGCTCCTCAATCTGACTCCAAACGTTACTGAACACACGCGCCTTGCCCCATAAATGGGCCCTATTTAAAAAATGGCATAAGTGGTTTCTAGAAATTAGAGAAAGTGAAAAGCATTGTCAGTTTTTCCTTTGTGCATTTTCCAGGGCAAATATCTTCCAGGTGCAGCATTTCCTTTTAATACATTTGGCAAACTTTCTGCTCCTCACTAAGGGGCTAGCTCAAAGCTCAAAGACTTCAATAGACTTTGGATCAGGCCATTGGGCATCTAACCTGCATTCAGTTCAGAAACACAACACACTTTTATCAAGACTTTCTGTTAATAGGCAGGAATCAAACCCATGCCATCTAAGGGAAGTGTGGGTCAATATAATAAAAGTCAAGGGCACTAAGCCACGGTGCTCATACTTTTAAACTAGGAGCATTATCAAGAGTACAAATCATTTGCCTTCACTTCTGTGTGTGAATTCACCTTCGAAATTGAATTTTTCCCAGGGTGAAAAGCACTCTCTATATGAATATCTAGTAATGGAAGCTTTTATATTTCACCAGTGGAAGATCTTGAAAGTAATAACTTAGGAGTATCAAAAAGGTACTTGTACAATGTGTGAACCCCCTTTTATCTGCATCTACAGTAGCAGAATCCTAATAATCAGGATGAAGGAAGTTCCTAACACAGAACAGTTGTTCTTTGTCAGAAATAATCAGACTTCATTCTTATATATAGGCAGAGATTAAGGTTGGATCCAAGTCCCGCTGAGCTCAAGGGAGGTGTAGCAGTAGACTCAAAAGTTTGAGAGCCACCAATTGGAGGCAAGACCCCAAAGGCTGAAGGCCAGCTGGGTTGCTGCCTCACAGTTGTTGGTAGATGTTCTGTTTCTGAGGACTACTGGCAGCACCTGAGGAAGGTGAGCTGAGCTATGTGGAAAACAGCCAAGAACAAGTTAACAGAGAAGTAAGACAAAGTCATAACATGCTATGACCCGAGGTGCAGTAAGCAGCCACGTCATGATCTTCGGGAGTAGGTTCTTGCTACCTGATGTTCTCCATTGTAGAGCATTCATTGTTTTTCCAGTATAATCTCAGATATCTGGCAAGAGGGGGATACTGAGGCTGAGGAAGTTGAGGGCTGTGAGCCTCAGAGTTCAAG